AAAGTTACCCCAGGTTTAAGGAATGTTTGAGATCTATTCAAAACTATAATTCATGAGCCCCCATAGATGTTTCTTGCATCAGACCAACCAAGGAACACATTAGACCAAAGTAAAAGGCATCAGTTAACCAATATAGTAAAATAAATGACAAAGGAAATATACTCCATACAAATGGGGGTGGGAGGTACTCTCCCTGACAGGTTATTGCACCTATGATAGGAGAGGGGACACACAAAGGGAATATATGTGGCCAGGTACCTCACACCCAGGGGGTGGCTAGAGCGATACAAGTGGGAGAGGACAATTAACATTGTATTCCTCCTGGAATACCTCTTTTTCCAAGCTTCCAATGCTACTGCTGCCATCAGCTGCTCTGGTGATAGTCTCTGACTTCATGCTGGTCTTGCCACTGCTTGGACCTCACCATTGATCTGTTCTCTCCACCGTATTACCACCTGCTACCATTTGGTCCAAGCTGCAATCTGATGGCTACTGCTGCACACCGCCCAAGAAGGTCTGTCCCTTTGGTAGTCCTGAGAGTTATGTCAGCTCTTTTATGATTCAAGCAACCAAAGAAGTCCTGAGTCAGCATCTACCTTCTGAACTACCTTTCTCCTAGTTCAGTTGCCATTCTTAGAATTCAGTGGATTCCTTGAGTTAAAATGAGAAATTCCTTTTTTTAAATGCATTTTTATTTATACTTTTGTTTTTTACATCACCTCTCTTACCCTATGTATCTCTCTTCCTTCCCCTTCCCAAGAGCCATACTTTAGAGTAAAGAATTTTTAAAAGAAAAAAGAAGAGAAAAAAATTCTTTTTTTTTTTTGATGAGGTGATCAGGGTTAGGTGACTTGCCCAGGGTCACACAGCTAGTGTCAAGTGTCTGAGGCTGGATTTGAACTCAGGTCCTCCAGATTCCAAGGCTCAAACTTTATCCACTGTGCCACCTAGCTGCCCCAAGAGAAAAAATTCTGCAAAACTTATCAACGTATTTTTAAAAACTGACATTAAATATAAAATTCCACTCCCATGGACACTGACCTCTGCAAAGGAGAAAGAGGGAGGTATTTTCTCCTATCTCTTTTTTGGTTCCAAGCTTGTTCTTCATAATTTTGCAACATTCAGTTTCAGTTATTTTGTAGTAAATGTTCATTCCATTTACATTGTTGCAGTCAGTGGTTACAGCAGTCAATGTTTTGGTTTTACTTGCATCATTTTCATCAGTTCATGTCATTCTTCTTAGGCTTCTCTATAGTCATCACACTGGGCATTTCTTATAGCATAGTGATATTCCATTACATTCATATGCCACAATTTGTTTAGCTATTTCCCAATCAATGGGTATATATTTTGTTTCTTGTTCTTTGCTACTGCAAGATGTATTGCTATAAATATTTTGGTATATGTGGTATAGCCAGGAGGTATGATGGGAATTATACTATAAATTTCTTCTTCTTCTTCTTCTTCTTCTTCTTCTTCTTCTTCTTCTTCTT